AGTGGCATTTTTGTAAATGAACACCCTAAGTGGTAGTCTTGCAAATGTGTACACAAAAAGTGGTATTTTTGTAATTTCCCCTAGAAAAAATATGCAGGACGACTTAAAATTTCGTATAATATAAAATTATGAAATTAAATTATTGTGCGATTCGATAAATTTTATGAAATGACATTGTATTTGATATATAATGAGATACTATTAAAAATATGAATTGTAATAAAATTTAATACTAAAATTATACTCCCTATGTTTGTTTTTAAATAATGTTTTGAGAGATTTTTTTATTTGTAATTAAGTAATGTGTTCGCAATTCTATGCGAAATTAATTGATTTTTTAAATGTTTTTTACTGTTATAATTTTGTAGATTATTTTTCTATTGCTTGATTTGTGTTTAGGTAGATAATTTTGATGTTTTAATTCAGAAAATAATAAAAATTAAAGAATTTCTTAATTAGAAAGCAATAAACATCATTTAAGAATAAATAAAGAGAATCTTAAAAATGATTAGAAAGGGAAATGGCACATTTTACATATTAGAAGAAAATGAAATATTTTTTATACACACAATTATTTTTTATCCTTTAAAACATCTCCAACTCTATCGTTTTTAAATACATTTAACATTCAAACGATACATACAATTTTTTATTTTTTTTGTTAATATGCAAAGTGTCGAGTCATGTTGTAAATCGCTTGATTAAAATGTTTTCATTTGATGCGATGCTATGTTGTCAAGTTTTTATGTTGTTTGCTATGTTTCATTTCTTTGACTTTGGATGATCTAATCTTTTATAAAATTCTAGACGATTTAAACAAACATTTATTTTGAAATTATATACTTCAAGCGTTAAACAATATATAATAAAACTTTAGATATTACTCATATTAAGTTAGTGAGGTTAGATTAGTTAAAATATGTTGTGTATTTAGATAAAAATAATTTAATTTTGTCACATGAAAGAAAAATATTCAACTAATTCCATATACAATTCTGTAGAATCCCACTTACTTGCGGTTGTATTTTTCAATCAAAACGCAAATTTAATGGCATGTACCAATTGAAGCTATATAATGTTTTTAATGAAACTAAGAGCATTTGTAATGGTTAGTAACTTAGTATTATACATTGAGTAGACATTTCAAAAGTTGAGAAACTCATTGATAGCTCTAACTTTTACCTTAAAAAT